CTCAATCTGAATTTACTCTTAATGATTTAGATGATTTGGATTTTTTATTTGTAGAACAAGCGTGCTAATAATGTGTTGAAATAATTTTAAAAAAATCGAAGAGAAATATAATAAAAAATAAATTCACTATTAGAAAAGGTAAATACAAGTGGCATGATCTCTAAAACAACTCTTACTCTCTACAAAAACTCTACTACTGTAGCTAATGACTAATCAAATATATTTATAGGATTCAATATTATGAAAAAAAATTGAAAGATGACTGAACAATTAAAAGGTACATAAATGATTGAATCAAATACACAAACTTTTAATTTCTTATATCGGATGAAAAATTGAATCACATTAAAAATTATGAGTTGTGAAAAAATTATTAAAGATTTCGTATTTTTATATATAGTAATAATATCTCAAAAAAACACAGACGGCACATCTTCATATATTTTCTATTGTAATGCATGCACCCTTCTGTTACCACAAAAAGTTGGTTTGAACACATACCCAGAATTTCCTGCCTAAATTTTCATAGACACTACCCAAATTCGCTCAAAGATATGAGAAGCCTAGAAATATGGAAACTAGAGTCATCAATTTTTTTTCATTCGGTAGTTTTTGAAGCCTTCTGGTATCCCTGTATATTCTGGCTTCGGATTAAAACTACAAAACAATCTAAACTAGAGTTATCATCTTTGGTTCGGGTACCTAGTTGAAAATCTCGTTACAGTTAGCAGACAAATATGTCCTTCGGCCGAAAAAAAAATCGTTAGGCTTCTGTGTTTTGCTCCCAAGCAACAAGAAATAGTATACTGGGCTTACAAATGCAGTCCAATCAATCACTAGATAGCTCAAGCTTTTGACCATTCGCAATTTGCAATTCTGTTGGTGTGGACTTGACGTCAGGTTGCGCAATGGTTAATCATTTTAAGCTTTACCACACGAACTTGCTTGGCAAACAAACATAATATATGCAAGTGGAAATATTGTTAGCTATGATGTGTGCGTCAAGGATGTTAATCATTTAGTTAATTGGAAGATACACAACAACGAAATTAATGGTGTAATCATATATTAGTAGATTTAGTTTTTAACTAACGCACAAACTCATCTTACGATATTTTTATGATTCAATAAAAAAAAATTAGTGAAAATAAAATATACTAGGTCACATTTTAAGCATTCAAATTTCAAATACTAGCTATTGGAGCCTTTCATTCACTTCTGTCACGTATTGGAGCAAGTGTACTTTTGAGTAATGGCAACACGAACGTGTAATGTCCTACCATTTTTGCCAAGCATTTATAAGCAATATTCATGAGGAACATTCGTTGGAAATCTCCACCAATCTTTTCTAACTAAATTTATGCTCTGCTTTGCCATTGACAGGAAGAAAAAAAAATTTCCATTAATCAAATTTTCCAACTTGAGCCCAGCATAGGAAAGCTACAAAAATATTTGTCCGGCCCCCAACGAATGGAGCCTCAAATGATTGCTTGGTACTCCTTTTTTTAATTCCATAAGAAGGAGAGGAAACTATTTTTTGAGGAAAAGAGACATATAGCTGGTAATTTATAAACTTTTATAAAGGATATGATTTAAGATTTAAAATAAAAGTAACTCTTCTGGTCCATGCATTGCTTTACTATAATTAACTCTTAAACATCTTGGAAATAAAGTACTCCCTTTCCCTCTTTAAGGTTTATTTCAAATTAGCGAGCAGTCAACATCAACCAAACAACTTTGGGTACAGTAGAAGGAGCCTGTCTTTACACATTTCAGTTGGAACGACCAGCAATAAGATCATGAAAAATTTAAGAAATGTCAAAGGACTTAAAGCCTTGCAAGGAAAGTTACAAAAAGAGATCTGGTGGGGATAACATTGTAGAGGGGCTAAAGAATGTTTACACGTTGATGTTGTCTATGTTTAATTAAATAAGATCTCAACCAGAAACTCTAATGTCATTTTCACCATCATTCTTAGCGTTAGTTATAATAGAAATGTTCTGATTTGTTTGTTGCTTTGACACCTTTGTTGATCATATATATCATTAATATGTCAGTCATCTCCAGTACTTTTCTCTTCTTCTTCTTTTTTTCCTGTTTGTATTGCATGGACTTTGCAAATAATTTTCGAGAAATTGACAAAATTGAGCCACTATGGTTGAAGAAAAAACTGAGTCTAACGTGTCAGGAAAAGAAAAGAAAGTTTTGTTCAAATTTCAAAACAAAAAACTGTAGCAAAAACTTAAAGTGCTTGTATGGCATCACCAAAATGCCCCTTAAACCATAAAACAGGTACCACTGTAACTGGATACTGTAAAGTCTGTAATACTATTGCAAAGAAATGGTACGGCAACAAGGCATATTTTAGGTAAGAATGAGTTGTATTCAGTTAAAGACGATTAATAAAATCGAACTAAAATATTAATTTTATTTAATTTTTAAATTTAACTCAATTAAAAAACTAAAAATTAAATTACTTTTACTTATGCAGTTTTGGTTCAGTTTTTAAAACTTTTTAATTCGTTTTCATCGAAAATCGATTTTTTTAACATTTTTAAACTTTTTATTGTAATTTAAATTTTGATAGCTCATTTTACATCATATTTGAACAATTAATGATTTTCTATTATTATATATTTTAGATGTAGATTATTGGGCTTGTATTTAAATTTTAATGCCTTATTATGTAGTATAGTTTTGTGCTTTAACTTTATTTAAATAAATATTTATTATTTTTTATAAAGGTTAATTTAGATTTTTTGAAGTAGAGAAAAACTTTGTAGTCAATAACATAATTTATTTTTATTTTTTTTACTAATTAACATTGTTTAAAAAGAAACAAAAAAAAATCCTGTCTTTATTGAAATTTTGGTTTTATAAACCGAAAAAAATCGAATAGAAATCGGATTGGTAGTTTTTTTATGAATTTAGTTAACCAAAAATTAAATTAAAATATTAAAAACTAAAATTAAAAAAAAAATTAAATATTCACCCCTACTTTAATCCTTAAACCCTATCCCACGTGATAAAATGACAGGTCCTATCCTATTTGTTTGAAAGCTAGCTGGACCATACGTTTACTAGGAATTCCCCGGACTTGGATGCGAATTACCAGCAAACTGTTGATCTCTCGGGATTTCTACGTCGCCTCCGAGGACAAAACATCCATTTCCGTTATCTTTTATAGCATCCATTTTGGTTTTGTTCCTTTTGATGTTGAATTTTAGCATGACGTTTTTCGTTTATGTTTATCTATATTATTATGGGGTTAGAATAAATAATTAAAAAAATAATAGGACTAAAAGTTTGTTATAACTGAATTTTAGTAATTGAATAGTAAAATATTGGATAATATATGCTGAAAATTTATTTATTTTCTACCATCTTCTACTTATATCTTATTTATGTATGCTAACATCACACTACGAAATAGGACATTTTGATACAATATGTGAAGATTTACCAAAAAAAAAAAAAATGTTTACTCTATAGAAATATGTTCACTGGGCTACCAACCGTTGTTTTCAAACAAACAAATGACTTAGAGAATTAAAAAAGACTATATACGATGAATTAGAAATAATATATATTTGTAATTACAAAAGACTATATATGAGAAAATTCTCATAAAAAATGTATAAAATTGAGTACTAAATAAAATTTATAAGAAAAAAGAGAGATAGAAATAACATATCAAGTATTAAGGAAATTAGAGGAGTAATCAGAAAATAAATATAATAACCAAGTTATATCATAAAAGAATTCTCAGATTTAAAAATAATACTTATGCAGTTAATTTGATGTTTTCATTCATTAGTCTCAACAAAACTTGAAGCGATTAGTACTTTAATCTTTTTTTATTAGAAAAGCTAACTGAATCTACAACGGCTAAACTAAAATTCTTGCATTAATTTGATTTTTAATCAAATACTAATATTAATTTATCTCAACTTGATATAAGCAATTAAAAAATCACCGCAAAGCGGCAACACTAGAATTGAAATAAATTCCCAAATACTTTAGAAAAGAAAATAAATTCATAAAAATAGTTCAGATTTTATTTATGTAATAGGTAGATGAAGAAAAAAATTCATTTACCCCGAAGTTAAATATATTTTGATGAAAATAAATAAGCTTCCAATTCCAAGCCTGAAGTGTAGCAAAAGCTTAACAATGGGAATGCATCACCTAACGATGTTCACATTTTACAGTGTGGTAATTAACAAGTAACATTAGAACAATTTCAAGATAAACAAGTATTACTTTCTTGTACAAAATTTCGAGTAATTTCGTTTATGCAATTTGTGATCTTAAGAAAGAAACAAGAGAAGATGGTAAACAAAAAGAGAATACTCCAATCCATCATAACAAATTAAAAGACATCATCCAAAATTGTAAGTAAAATGGTAAAAAAAAAAAAACTTATTTATGACTCACTAAATTAAGGATTTGATTTTAAATTCCTTATTATTTTTTATGTTGTACTAAGCATAAGTTGCTAGGTATGATTCAGTACTTACCTAATTCAAATAATAATAATAATTTAATATTAATTAACGTAAAATTTGATTAAAAATATCTCATGCTTGTAAATATCAAAATAAATTGGGAGACCATCATTGACTGATCCGTCGCTTGCACGACTCCCATAACCTTTATTATATTTTTCAAACCAACTCTGGGAATATTATTAATACACTTATCAATTTTATCCCTTGTTTAAGCAAACCAAAGCCAAAACAAGGAGCCTCTTTTTTTTTTTTTTTTTTTTTTTTTGGTATTCTTAGAAAAATGGGCTAAACGGAGACAGAGAACAGTTAAAAATAATAGAATCATCATCAAGAAGGAAGAGCCTTTTCCTGTCTCTTTCATGTCATGTTTTTGAGCAAGTTTGAGTAATCATAACTTGCTTCACTACAGAAATGACACATAAGTTTATATAGGACGCTCCATCACATTTTCCAAATTAATAAACTGAAAGCAGACATGGTTAAGGCCTTATGGATAGAGCTTTCAGCCACCAAAAAGAAAGAGAAACAGCTCACCAACAACAAGAGCAACATTACCAGCTCAAGCTTTGTGTGCCAGTACTAGTGAAACTAAGAAGCTCCAACAATAACCTGAACCCATTTTCTCTATTGGGCTTCTGGGTCTCAAAATCTCTTAGAAACTTACATTGTAAAGCTAGATTCTCAAATGGGTTTTGCTTGAAAAGGCTACAGTTTAATGGTATGGTAGTGAACAACTCTGTTTTTTGTGATTCACCTGGGGTGGTATTGAAAGAAGAGAGAGGAGAAATGGAGACTTTGATTGAGAACAATAACGAAGGCCACACAGAGAAAGATACAAACTTTGGTGAAAAGAAAGGTGAACTCCAGACATTTGGCGATTTGATTGAAGACAAAGGTAGAGAAAGCAGTTCAAGTTCTGATTTTTTAACTTCCGAGACCACGGGGCATGAGGAGCAAAGTCATAGTAGCTCTGAAGAGGACTCATCTTCTCCTCCTACAATGGGTTGGCCTGTACAGAAAGATGAAGCACCTGATTGCACAAGTACCAATGGTGAAACTGATGATGGAGAGAAATCCCATTTGGATGACAGGAAGTTGGAGAAACAAGGGTCTTCGATTTCAGGTATTGATTTTTCTCTCTCTCTCTTTTATATTTCCAGTCTGAAGTTTATGATAATGTGTTTGATGTTATGGGTCTGATTATGGTGTGATAGAGACGGAGATGATGAAGGAAAGGTTTTCAAAACTGCTGCTTGGAGAAGATATGTCTGGTTGTGGAAATGGAGTTTGCACAGCTTTGGCTATCTCAAATGCCATTACTAATCTATGTGGTAGGTTATGTATTTATGATTGTTTTAGCATTATTAATCAGTTTTACTTCTTGGAGTAGGCATTGACTAAAAAATTGATGTTTGTTGCTTTTTTTCTGGCCAATTTTACAGCTACCTTGTTTGGGCAACTATGGAGGTTGGAGCCTCTACCTCCTGAGAAGAAAGCAATGTGGCGAAGAGAGATGGAATGGCTTCTTTGTGTAAGTGATCACATTGTGGAGTTGATGCCTTCTTGGCAGACATTTCCAGATGGAAGCAAGCTCGAGGTATAACTATGCATTTTAAATTTTCAGAATAGACCTTAGTTCTACTTCATATGTTACAGACCCTGATTAATGTGGCCTGCCATTGCTTTCCTAGAATTGTCTTTATTGTGCAATGCTACAATTCTTCGCAAATATGACAAATTTGAATGTCGAGTTTCTGTTTTGAATTGGCCTGTTGGTTTAACAAATTGATTATTGTTATGAACCAAAAATAATGATTATAAAGTTCAATATTATCATTATTATTAGAATCGAATCATAATAGGTGGGAAACTAACAAATTGAAGCAAACTTCTATAAAATAGATTCGAGTACTTTAAGGCTATACCATCAATTGCAGTAATGGTCTAATGACTCCTTATTTTGTTTCTCCTAGTGATTAATATTGATGGATTTGTGACTTGAATCCTATTGTAAAACATGGAAACATTTCATTCCCGTTGATTTTAAGCAAACCACTTCTTGTGACGGTAGAATGAGTCACAACATTCTCTTATTACTGCAGCCAAAAAGATGGAGAAAAGAATTTTTCTTTAGGGTTCAAATGGATGAGTGATTTCTAGAATTTGTTTTCTCTCTCTCTTTTAATGTTGTGAACTTGTGATCCAGGTTATGACCTGCAGACCTCGATCAGATCTTTACGTAAATCTTCCAGCTCTGCGCAAATTGGATAACATGCTTCTTGTAAGATTCACCAATGCTTAGTTCATCAATGCTATATTTATCATGAATTCATTCTGAATGTGAATTTCTTGCACAGGAGATATTAGATAGTTTTGACAATACTGAGTTCTGGTACGTCGACCAAGGGATCCTAGCCCCTGATGCAGATGGGTCAGCCTCTTTCCGAAGAAGCCTGCAGCGCCAAGAAGAGAAGTGGTGGCTACCTGTGCCTCGTGTACCTACTGGAGGCCTCCAAGAAAATTCAAGAAAGCAGTTGCAGCACAAACGTGATTCTACAAATCAAATATTGAAAGCTGCCATGGCTATCAACAGTATTACTTTAACTGATATGGAAATCCCTGAATCGTATATGGAAGCTCTTCCAAAGGTATAATCATCTTAGATCTATGAATCATGTTTTGATGTCAGAGAGACATGTTTCTTAAAAATTCTTGCCCTAACCTTTGTTTCAGAATGGAAAAGCCAGCTTAGGAGACCTCATCTACCGATATATTTCTTCGGATCAATTTTATCCAGAATGTCTTCTTGATTGCTTAGATTTGTCTTCAGAACATCAAGCTATAGAACTTGCAAACCGAGTGGAGGCCTCAATCTACATATGGCGCAAAAGAAATAACTATAAACCTGCCAATAGTACTAATCGATCCAGTTCAAAGTCATCGTGGGAATTGGTCAAGGAGCTGATGATTGATGCAGACAAGAGGGAATTGCTTGCTGATCGAGCAGAAAGCCTCCTTCTTTGCCTGAAGCAGCGATTCCCTGGTCTTCCACAAACAACTTTGGATATGAGCAAAATTCAGTACAACAAGGTTTTGATTTCTTAGCCCAATAAAATTTATTTAATTATTATGAATGTCTCCTAATACCAATTTCATAATCAATTAGTTTACTTGATTACTTAGGATGTTGGGAAATCCATTTTGGAGAGCTACTCAAGAGTTTTAGAGAGCTTGGCATTTAATATTGTGGCACGAATTGATGACCTGATCTACGTGGATGATTTGACAAAACATTCTGATCATTTCTCTTCAATCTCTAAAGTCAATGTGATTGCTCACAAAAGTGTAACGTTTCCATGCTCGGTCCCCGTCTCAAACACTCCATATAAAACAGCTTTCAACACACCAAGCTTTTCACCGGGACAACAACGAGTAAGCCCTGTAAAGGGAGACCAATCTCCCTTCATGACCAGTGGTAAAATTCCTCAGCGTGGTTTAGGCGTAAAAAAGGTGTTGACAGATTATCTCAGTATTGATACAAAAGGCAGGGATGACAGCAATACAATCGAGGGAACAGAAAATGTGATCCGAAACACAGCAGCTTCTCAAACTGGAGTTGAATCTTTTGGGTCTATCATAGAAACAATCAGCTCACCTGAAAACAGATTTTCTGATATCTGTTAAATTCAGCTGCCTGATGGCTCCTATGTGCATGTCATTTTTTTCATAGAAATAGGAAGATGTTTGAGAGTTGGGTAAAGTTGATCGTGTTATTTAAATCTTAGTTGTAAGCTGTAAGAAAATCTGTAATGATAGAGTTGATGAGTGCTTCATGAATCATTCACGTTGTTCAAGCCTTCAGATGAATTTGCTGTTCGTTGATAAACTTTCCTTTGACTGACCGCTGAACAAAGGGAAGAAGAGGCAAAGTTTACTATTTTAATGATTTAATTAAAAAGATATAAAAATAGGGCCATTTTGAGAATCAAACGCATGAACTCTTGCATCCTAAGCGAAAATCATACCACTAGACTAGAAGCCCTTCTTCTCAAGGGTGGTAAATTAAACTTTTCAGGTTAAATGGACCAAACATTTCTTCAACTTTAATTTATTTGAAAGTTAGTTCTTAAGCTTTTAATTTACGTTTTGATCTCTTTAATATATATATATATATATAATTGTTTTTTTTTCTTTAGTATAAAACAACTGAAAGATAGACTAAATCTAATGCATATATATATATATATATATATATATATATATATATATATATATATTTGAAAGTTAGTTCTTAAGCTTTTAATTTACGCTTTGCTCCCTTTAATATATATATATACATATATAGTCTATCTTTCAGTTGGTTTATACTAAAAAAAATAACAATTATATAAATAATTTTATGATAGCAATCTTTCAGTAAGATTTATCTGAATCTTCATAAAAAAAATTGAAATCATTTCAACTCATTTTTTATTTTTCTGATTTTCTATATTTTTTATGTTTAAAAAATAAACAAATATACTATCCAACCTTGAAAATTTTTGGAATTTTTTTAGAAAATTGATTGAATTTTTTCGCAACATGTGTGTAAAATTTTAGATCAAAATACCAAGAACTGAATTTTTTAGACGAGAGGGCTCATAATAGCTAAAAATCATAGGATGAATTTTTTTTTTTTTTTTTGAAAGTACAATTTGAGGAGGTTAAAATACAAATTAAAAGTTTAAGAATTGATTTTTAAATGAACTAAAGTTTAGGAGGAGAGGTTTGATCTTTTTAGCCAACTTTTCATAATTAATATAGCAATTAAAAATGGATTTGCTCGTATATGGTTCTTCTATTTTTGAAATTATTTTGATTGAGATTATGTATTCTTTTTCTATCGATTGAGATCTTCTCCTCTTTATTTTGTTTGTTTGAGAACCTATGTTATGATGTCATTTGTTTTCCATCTCACGTGATATGTTATCGTTAGACACCACCTATGAATGATTGACATGTGAAATTATGGGTCCATAACACAATAAATTCATCCGTATTAAAAAAATTAATAAATAAATCATTTTTAAATAATATCAAAATACCCTCAATAATTTCAAACCCTTTTTAGATTCAAACTCCTAATTATTTCAAACCCACTAGATTCGAGTATTCTCTCCTCTTTGAAGTCGTTATTTCTCTCTAACTTTCTCCCACCATTCACATTCATTGTCTCGTTCAAGAAAGACATTGTTAGGCTTATATGTGATCTGTCAATGTTGTCATTTGGAGCTGAAAAACTAGAGTCATTCGAGTTAAAATCACCTAACCAAAATTTTTTTACTTGTATTTTTTTTCCAATTTTTCTATATTTTGTAGATTTTGTATATGGGTTTTGTCAATATTTTTGGTTTTTTTTTTTATGGGTTTTGTCTATGGTTTATTATATGTTTTATATAAAATTATTGTCTTTGATTAGATTTGTTTATTGAAGTTTAAATTTTATATGGTTCATTGCATGTGACATTGAGATTCTCTAATGTTTTTTTTTTTTTTTTTTTGGCCTTTACGTTCCCTTAATGGATGTCATGTTGGGGGAGAATTATAAAGAGAGGTTAGGTTGTCTTTTAGTAAAAAGGAGGTTATTGATAAGGTCTCAATTGACCCTAACTTAATACAATTTTAAGAACTACTAGAAATTGGCTAAAAAAAATTGGTATGAGAAATTTAAGATGTGTTTTATAAGATACATGATCCTAAATTAAGTTTTAAACAAAGTCTTAGGAAACTTAAGATTATATGAGTCGTTTACTTCTAATGAATCTTTTGACCGATGGAATCATTGGTGACATGTATTATGAAATAAAGTGAATAAATATCCCATTTGCTTGGTTATGATAATCCAAAAACTATATGTAGCAGGTTTGGAATCAATGAACATGGGAAAAAAGGTGAATAAACCTAGTTCTAAATATGAAATTGAAGATATAAATGTTGACGAGTGTTGTGGGTAGTGCTTTCCATTTAAGTGAGGGTTCTATTGTAAAGAAAATAGGTGAAGTTAGTAAAGTCCATATATGTAATACCTCGAAACCGTTATTTAATGAATTAAAATATATCAAGGGCGTATGAAAACTATCTAGTGGACATAGGATAATTGCTAAGAGGTTGTTAGAATATTTGGTGCACTTAGAATAATTTTTCTATGCCTAATAGATATTTTATTGGTTATTCGAGTACATGAATAGTACCTTGTTATGCAAAATAATTATTTTAAGCATGATATTTGTATATGAAAATTATTTTGTTCGCATAGAATATTTGTTAGAGGGGTGCTAGATTATTCTGTGCCATTTGGTGGATTTTTTGGTGTTCAATGAATATTTTATGTGACTTTTCGGTGCATAAATAGTGTTTTTATGCGAATTAATTATTTTGACCGTTTTAAATATGCATGAAAATTATCCATTGGGCATAGAAAAATCATTAAGGAGGTGTAGGTATATCCCATGCACTTGGATGAATTATTTGTGCTTAGGAAATATTTTTTGTAGAAATAAGTGTGTTTCTACACAAAATAATTAAGTTAAGGGCTTAAATATGTGTGTCTATAAAAATTATGTGAATGATGAATAAATTATTATAGGAAGTGTTTGAATTTATTATGAAAAGAAATTAATTTTTGGAAAGGTGTGGAGTAAATTATGCATACATAGGGACCTAATTGGATAGAATTAAAAGTTTGAACTTTCAAATTAAATTAGGAATGAACTTATGGAAGTAAAAAGTTGTTACAAAAGCCTTAAAGGAAGGGTCTAAGCAAATCAATTGATAATTGAAGGGCTTATGAAAAAGTAAAAGTAGAAAAATTCCTCAAATTGAGGGACCAAAATTAAACAACTTTGGGAGAGATTTTTCTCCCCATTTTGTCTTCGCTTAGGTCTTCATGATTAGGACTAATTAATGAGGATTAACTAGGATAAAAGGAAGGGTTAAGATTAAACTAGATGAATGGTTAATATTTTAACGAAAAATGGAAGGCCAAGATTAAAACAAATGCGGGGCTAGGATTAAAAGTAAAATCAAGGGTTAGGATTAAATCAAATGAGGGGCTTAGATCAAGTCAAATATGAAGAAAGTCCAACCAAGCTTACCTATATATATGGGTGAAAAAGGTGTAGGAAAATGTTAGAAAAATTAGAAAATTTATGGGAAATTCTTACAAACTTTCCATAGAATTCCACCAAAAATTTTACCTAAGCACTTAAACCAACCCTAAAACACTTTATTAAACCTAGAATCATAGCTGGAAGCTCAAAAATTTCGAGGGGGAAATTTAAAGACTTGGTCGAAAGTTTAGGAGAAAAGCAAGAAGGAAAATTTGCAAAGAAAATCAACCTTTCAAGGAGTAATTTAGAGCTTTCTAGGTAAGTTAACTTCACCTACATTACAAGGAATATTTAATTGATGCCATTGATTGTTTTGCTTAATTTATTCAAGCTCAATTGCATGAATTTTGAAAATTAGGGTTAGGGTTCTTGATGAAAGAACATCAAGGAAAATGGAATTAAAGGTAAAATTGATGCAATTGAGGTTAGAAAATATTAATTAAGCATGAAAATATGTGTTAGAAATAAGAATTTCTTAGCTTAATCCTTTGTTAACTATTCGGCCCAATTTGGCAAATTTAGGGTTTTTAATCCTTTGGTTCATTTGATGAATTATTGTTTAACTATGTATTATTAAGTATAAATAGATGATTTAACATGAGAAATTACATAAAAATTGAAAATTTCACCTAGTTACCTTATACCCACATTCAGCCCAATTTATGTAAAAATTAGGATTTTAATGCTTTTGATTTCTAATGGTTTGATCGATTAATTTCAAGCTAGTATAGTATGAAAAGATGAATTAGCATAAAAAATTTCATTTGGATTGAAAAATTAATTTAGTTTATCCTAGGTAGAGTTTCAACCCTATTGGCCCAACATTAAGGATTTTTAGTGCTTTTGTTTATTTGATGTTTGGTTGCTAGATTTAGTATTATTATAGTGTAATTAGATAATTGAGCATAAAAATGGCTTTAAAATCAAATAATTCACCTAGTTTAAACTAAGTCCGTATTTGACCAACATTGAGCAAGATTAGGGTTTATAACTTAATTTGTGTATCATGGTTATGATATGGTTTACATGTTGCCATTGATATGTAGTATATATTTTCTATGTTATGAAAGTTTTGAAATGAATGATTGAATGGGTGTATGCATTAATTGTGTTTGTATGATATTGCCAATGTGAGGTTATATTGATGGTTCTATTGTTTGAAATGATTTGGAATGAAATTGCAAGGTAACATATATTGTGGTGAATTTACAATGTTAAGGAATGCATTGTTACGGCATAAATGCACACCATTCATGGCATGCACTATATGGATTCATGATAATTATGCATTTATATTAAAATGCATATGCATGCCAAATTTATGGAAAGGTTTAAAGTCATAAAAAAGGATTTCTTTCAAGGTTTTCCAAAGGTAGTTGGAAATTATTTCATGGTTTATATGGTTTTTCATGTCTTTCATGGTTCACGGTTGCATGGTTTTATGGAAATGACTTCACGGTTTTTCATGACTTTCATGATACATGGTTCATGGTTTATGGTTTTCATGAGTCGAGTAGGTGCAAACGTGCACTTTTAGAGATTTGACGGGACATGTCCATAGATTGGTCCGATTTATCACACGGATCATGGAAACTTGAAGTTTAAAGACATAACGTCTAAGCACGTAAAAGATTTTTCAGAATATTCATAGTAAGGATTTCATGACATGAGAAATGATTTTTCAAAAAAAAAACATACAAATAATTGCTTATGTTCATTTCACTTACTTACACGTCATACATGGTTGACTTACTAGGTAATAGCTCATTAAATTCTTGTGATGTAGGGATAAAAGACAAAGCATAATGGTTATATTTACGTTTGATCTAACTACTAAGGGATCCATTCGCTACATGTATCTTGCTTGTGGATGGAAGATGGACCTAGTTCACACCATTTTGTTACTAGTATTGGGGATTCTCATCTATGTACTTGGGTATGGGAGTTTTATTTTATATGATAGTTAAAGCAATAAACAAGTAGATGGTAGATTAGTAATGGATGGTAGCTGTAAATAAATAAGCCACTTTTATAGTATGTTGGCAATGAACTAGTTAGTGTAAATTAAGGATAATTTGTATATTAACGAAATAACGGTAGTAAATTAGTAGTACAACAAGTATATAGTGTAATTTTCTTTTAATTTATTTCTTATATGCAAGCATTAATAATAAAATAAGATAATGAAATTGATTAAAAAAAATAACCATAATAAATGGCAATTACCGAAAGTAAAAAGGATTAATTACCAAATAACGGGTAATAACTAGATAAATCCCCATAAGCTTATAGAAAAAGAATTTGACAAAACTAAGTGTTATAGATCCAATCGGTTCAATCTAAACTAATAAAATAAAATGTTAAAAAAAAATTTAACCGTGCATTTTAGGCTGAACTTAGGACCTACCCGCCATTTAATAGGCTTCCATGGCATAATCCATACCTAGTACAACATAGGAAAGACATAGTGCCTTGTTGGCTTGCATTCATTGCACTTCGAATATAGGTTAATGACAGGTAATATTCTCAACCTAACAGGTCCTAGGTTAGGGATGTTACAATAAAGGTGAGTATGATATTGTTAATATTGGTGAGGATAGTGGTGTCCACTTATATAATTCTGAACATGGCTAGGACAATGACATTGTTAAAGCAAATAGACGTATAAATGAGCATTTTGTGAAAGTTAATGTTGTTGTCCTTGATGGTAGTTGGTAGGTTCCTTCAAGAGAGCATGGTAGATCCGGATGATGAGTCATATGATGATATAGAAGATGCGGAGTATTAGATGGATTTACAATGGATGTCAAATGGTGATGAAGCACAAAAAGTTAGTGAAAATGTTAAAAAAGATAAACGAATTGTATGGTAAAGCTAATACACATATGAAGGAGAATATGGTGAGAAATATGGAGGGAATTATTGAGGGAAATGAAAACTTGAATAAGGGAGTATTTATCAATAATGAGGAGAAAGAAAAATTAATAGAAGAGTTGCAACAACTTGAAAGTGAATTGAATGAGAAATATTATAATTCGGATAAAAAAGATGAATACATTTCCAATATTGATGAAAATTTTGGTATAAAAAGGAGAATTAGATTGGTCAAGTATGATCTAACAACTCAATACCTTATTTTAGCTATGCATGATTCTTCGAACCAAAAACAAGTGAGAGTTATTGTTATTTAGGTTGCCATTCATGGTAGGCAAGGTATGAAGTCTCATAAGAATGATAAAAAAAGATATTCTATTTGCAAAGATGAAAAATATCCTTTAAAACTATTGATTTCTATTTTTGTAAATACCAAAAGATAGATGGTAAAGACTTACTATAATCAAGCAAACATATGATTGGTCATTCACAAATTTTAAAGTTAGTTATAAGTTGTATATCATTTTATGATAAATCTTGAAAGAATTGCATTAGTAAAAAGTTGTATGAGATTATGGAAGACAATATGGTAGATCTACATGTTCGGATTACAAAATCACAAGCCAAACATCCTTAATGACCCCGATATGTTTTAGAGATATAAAAATTGAGGTTAAGAGACTACAAGATTATGCGAATTGAAGAGAAGATGTAATGATAATAATATTGTCATTCTTGAAGCAAAAGAATATGCAAAGATCAAAACATATTCAAAAGAAAGTATGTGTGTCATTCTTCAATAGATGTTACCGAAAACGCAAAAAGGTAATTCCTCCACCAATCCTACAACTAACCATCATTTGTTGGATAAAAATACTAATATATGACATGTAACCCCTTCATCAAACTATCTTTTTATTGTTATTATGTTTTTATTTGCTTAAATATTAATACGCTTTAATATAATTTAGTGTTTGAATAAATATTTGATTGAATTTGATATATTATAAATGATTCGTATTTTCTATAATTCTATTTAATACTCGTTATTGTATTTATTAAATTGGATTGGATATGTGAAAATGCAAAAAGGCATTACCGATATGAGAACGACGAAATAATTGATTGAAAAAATCATCCAAAAAAATAAAAAAAATGATTTAGTGATGTTTTTAAAACCGTAGCTAAATTCAAGTTGAATTTTGCCAAATTAGTGACGGTTTGGATAAATCATCGCTAAACCGGTGACCTTTTTTCCATTATTTAGCAACGGATTTTTTATTTCTTAGTGATGGATAAATCGCCTCTAAAATTGTGACTGAACCCTTGAATCATTACTAATTAATTAGCGAGAAGATTTTTAATGCGGATTTTGGACCGTCGCTAAGTTTAATTAGCGATGTTTTTTTTTATTTAACGACACTTTAAATCATTAATAAATGATTTTTTTTTTGTGGTGCTGTTTTATTCTTTATTAGAGAGTGAAGAAACAAGCTTTTGATTGACCTAAATAAAAAATTTCTTCTATTTCACTTTTCGAGCTTTGATTTTTTTTTTTTCCGAATGCTTATAGTTACTTGAGAGTATGAAATGCCGACAAATGCTACATTGTAGTTCATCTCAAACACATCCCCATTACATACTCTCAAAACATAAAATAATAATGATAAAAAAAATACAAAAAATTAAAAGTTGGGCATTGAAATTGAAGAATTTACTCGATTGGACACTCGAAGAAAAAAATAAAAAAACCAAAAGTTGGACACTAAATATATAATTGTTTTCTAAAATTATTAACTCATTGGATTTATTTTGGTACATTTATACATAATTGATTTATATCTCTTTCATGAGAATCATCTCTTTTCATGATATATATATATATATTCGTATAATTTTTTTATCCTTTCGGTCGTAATTACAATTCATTTCCTAACTTTATTAGTCAATAAATTCATGGAACTATATGATTTATCATGGAGGAAAAAAAAGACTTGGTAAATACTTTTCTTCTATCTAATAAAATTATTAATACTCGTTGGATTTATTTGAGACATTATTGACAATTGATTTATATCTCTTTCACAGGTTTTCTCTATTATTCATATGGTTTTATATAAAAAGTATTTACGCATAGTGTTGCATCAAGTAGCTTGATGTCATGTTCTATATTTTCACAATCGTTCTCAACAAGGTCGTTGTAGTATAGTGGTGAGTATTCCCGCCTGTCACGCGGGTGACCCGGGTTCGATCCCCGGCAACGGCGTCCATTTTTAATGTTTTTCATTTTTCGAGCTTTCTTATTTCTCAGCGCAACCAATAGGCTGGCTTCTTGGGTGGAGGGAAGAGGAACAGTGTTGCGAGATGTAAATTTAATGGCCATTCGCCAAGAGAAAGGCATGTCTGTGTTGCGGTAGTTGGCTTAAAGGGGAGGGGAGCTTTTATTTGTTGGTAAATTGGAGTTTTAGTCTTCTAGAGACCCAGTGAGGTGGCTTGACGATGAGCTTCTGAGATTTTGCTTTGTCAATTTAAGATGCTAACATCTGGATACATGTTAGAGACTGGGATGATATGGCACCCAAATCACCAACTTTTTTATTTGACCCAGAAGACAAACACCAATTTTCTAAAGCAAAGTGCTGCATCAATATGTCTCTTGTTTTAGTGCCAGCCCCATTTTGATTAGTGGCCATCAAGTTGCTAGCACCTTAGAGCTTCATTTTGCACTATAAAAGATGCCCATAGGATTAGGAGTTTTGCATTCCAAAGTAAGCAGAGAACTAATTTTCTGAGATACAGAAATATGGATGCTCCTCTTAAATTCATATGCCTTCTTGGACTGCTTGTGCTCGTGAGCGTTGCTGGACAGACTGATGCTGCTGGGGAATGTGGAAAAGCTTCTCCAGACGATGAAGCCATGAAATTGGCTCCTTGTGCAGCAGCAGCACAAGATGAGAAAGCTGCTGTGTCAGCCAGTTGCTGCCTTCAGGTGAAGAGAATAGGCCAGAACCCAAGCTGCCTTTGTGCTGTGATGCTTTCAGACACTGCTAAGGCATCTGGAATTAAGCTTGAAATTGCCATTACCATCCCCAAACGTTGCAACCTAGCCAACCGTCCAGTGGGTTACAAGTGTGGAGGTTAGTATAGTCGCCTTGTTCCTACTTCCTAGTTGTATGCTTTTGCTTTCCTCGTTATACTCTTGCCTTCCAACTTTTCACTCATTACCCATCCAGTAAAGTAACGTTGCTGGTTTTGCAGCTTATACACTTCCGTGATGGGATAACATATCAGAAGCAAAAACCATGGCGACCATGGATATGAAGTATTTAAAATCTGGTAGCTAGTTGTGCAGCTAGCAACTACGTTGCTTTACTTCTTCTAGTGAATAAAAGCTAGCAGCTGTAATGTATCTAATCTGAATAATGTAAGCAGAATCAGTACAAGTTATGCTTTGAACATTGGCTGACTTGTGTTTTCTTTTTTTCCTTTTCATTCTTCCCCGAAGAAAAAAGAAAAAGAGAAAAAACTACCAACAGTTTGCCGGGAACGCAAAGCTCCAAATTGATTGATTGTGTTGGTAAAATGGAAATGACAGAAAAATATGGGTTTTTAGATTCTGAAACATAAAAATCAGATTTAACTACGCCAAAATGTGGCTGCAGGATCTTTGTCCTCAGCTTAGAAATCTTCTTTCACGACCAGAAAGAGATGGCCCCACAAACTCAAGGATAAGGACTGAATTAATCCGTGGGTCAGATTTTGGATGAAATGACTTCAGAATAAAAAATGGAAAGGACAATTTGAAGACCAAAGAGACTAGAGAGATTGCAAGACAATTGTACCAATGGACCACTCCCGCGTTTTATCAGTTACTAGGGCCGGGCCCCAAGATGAAATCTATGATATCTAACTAGAGTTGGAGTTTTTAGTGGTCTGAGTCTCGGGGAGACGGGGACTATAGAGTTTGACCACCAAAAATATCACCTTCATCATGATGAAGTAATATCTAAGCTGGAATCTTGTCACAGTTTAAGGTCATATAAACAAAGAGAACAGAATCAGAAACATAGTACAGGATGAAAACTCAAGCTCATAAACAAGGTTCTGGCCTCTGTGATGATGATGCGCATAGAACAAAATACAAAGTGGTAATAATCCTCGAATAATGCATTATCACCTCAAACATTGAAGGTGATGACATAACTGCGAAACTGAAAACAAAATCCTTGAATTTCAGAATTGTGCAGACATGACACTACAACCAATTCATCTGTGTTTCCATCAAACTAAGCCTAATCATTTCCAAAGTGACCAAGGAAACATTTTTACAGTCTAAGATCATAAACAGTCTACAAGGTTTGACAAAGCAGATGGCAATAACAAATCCATCTTTCATTTCCTAATAAGCCAAATGGGAGAGAGAATAAGCATCATCACAAATATCCTAAAAGATGAATTCAAATTGAAGTTTATAACAGCATGAATGGATTCTGCAGCGAAAAAAAAAAAAAAAAAAAATCATATGCACGGTACAGGTGCAAATGAGAAGGCACATCCATCCGCTGCAGACAGAAAACATGAATAAGTAAAACCAGGAAGAAGAAAAGCTTTTCAACCACAAAGTGTTTCAAATCTAAACTTCTCGCTCACAAGGCAGTAGGTTGAAGCTAGAAAAAAAATTATGAACCAAATACTTTTATTGCAATAAGACCAAGCAAGCCACTATGCATATGCTTTACAGTAAAGAAAGAAAGGCGTCATATAGCCTTTTCATATAAATATGTTGTTCCTTGACTGGTGAAGTTACAATAACCAACTTTCTGCTACATGCTGACTGCTATTTCCTATCCCATATAACAAAAGGTAGATTAAACAGCTACCCTATAAGTTACCTATATACCTGCAAGAAAACATTAAAAATATAATTATCTACAAAAGATAATAGCTGGCTGTATATTAACCATGAACGAAAGAAGAATTATTTATTTCTTCAGAAAGGAAATAAGACAAAAGGGAGTGAGTTATTATAGACATACTGAAGCAGTTACCAAAAAAATAATGATAAAAAAAAGACATATTTAGGCATATACAAACATATTTTCGACTTATACCATATGGGTCATTCTCTTCTAAGGGCGATGGTGAACCCAAGAACTCATAACCAGAAGGTAAAACGTCCATGGTAAAAAAATTGATGAAAAACAACTCAATGGGCATGAAACCTATTTACTACTTCAATTAAGACAGCTTTTAAATGGAATTAGTCAACCAATAATAGTAACCATATTATTATGTGACTAAAAGAAAAGGTTAAAGGCCAAACATGGGAAGTTGGGGGTGAACTCAGAGCACAAACTAGAAAACTTCAATCTATAAACAAAGCAATGAAAGTCCATAATAATGCAGCCCAAACAAATATATCTAGGAAGCATGTTATATTCCGAACAATAAGTAACTCAATCCAAATAAGACCCCAACTAACCAGGTAAGAGAATTATGATAGATATCAGGTTGAAGCAAAATTAAGTATACAGAAAAATGATGCATCAAATCGTTACAAAAAGTACATGTATTTATATTGCGTGTTTCCGTGAATAAAATACCTAAACAAGTATATGCCATGGCTGGTGAGATCTTAGTAGTAGAGCCCCCTGCATGAAGAAAAATTTAGAATAACAAAGATGTGAATAGAATTGAAGTGATTTCCATAATGTTATATGCTAATAACAGGCCATACCCTGCCACCAATTTCCTCTTGAAGCACTGCCTGTGTCATCTTCGGTTCCATCCTTTTTGAACTGATGAGAAAAAAAAAACATGTTAGATAGTTCCTCAATTTGTATTGTACCCACTAACAGCAGGCTTTAACACACAGGAAGGGTCTGCATAAATACTTCTATAAACTTGTTCCTTGCCTGCATACTTAAATATTACATTATCCCAAATGCTTAATAAACACTGGTAGAAGACCTATGTGTTGGCAGGCTAAACGTTTGTCATCTATAAATGTTCTGTATAAATATTATGTTGTCAATTGAATTTTTTAGTCTTTGTGATAATCCAAAACATCGCAAGACATGTAATTACAGAGAACAACCTACAATGCTCTGACAGTTTGGCACGCTGATTGCAATGACTATGGTTATGGATAAGACTAAAACTAGCACCTGTCACATGACATACTATTATTAATTCATCCATACCATTGTGTTCATACTTGAGGTATGGGCATTCTGAGGATGATGATAGATATCTTGACCCCCATAATAGATTGACGAACTAAGATGACACGGTTGTACTCTTTGTTCCTGATAAATGGAACTCATATCTTTGTTTGGCATGCTCTGGCTTTCACCTCCATTGCTTTTGGGAGTCAAATCTGAATATGATACAACACAAAGAGAGAACTTCAAAAACTGAACTAAAGATCTTGAAAATAATGTAAACAACTCCTCCTATATTATTTATACTTTTTCTTTCATGCTTTACATTTACACGCAGATTTTTTTTTTTCCAAAATATCTAATTATTAGAGAAAAGAGGCAGCACATTGGATGATTCTACGAAGAGCACATGGTTTTATTTTTTTCATAATTTATCCAAAAAAAATATGCAAGCAAAGAAATATGTAGTACCATCTTGTTTACTGCAAGGTTCCAAAAAGAAACTAAAATTGTTTACATAATGAAATGAATCTTGATGCAATCAGTGGCACTTTCCAATTCATTATAAAGGCATCGTAACAGCCAGCATAACCAAGATGCACATAAATCATGCCTGGAAAGAATTGTTTGGCATTCAATTGTATAACTTACAGAATCCAAACAAGCACGAAAGCAATAAGAATGAGAATAATAGTAGATCTATCTCTACGTGGTGCAGAATGATGCTTGTAATAATACTTGAACCGAAAGAAAGCAAAAGAAAACAAAACTAATTTTACAAGCTTCATCCATTACCTGCAGCTGGAGTTCCAAATTTGGTATTCCAAGCATCATTTGCCGAATCCTGCTTTTTCCCAACCACTTCGGAGCGCAATGACTCTCTCCCTAAAACCTGGATCAACACCAACATGATGAATTTCGCACCTCAACACAACAAAGAACACTTTAACATAAATAGCATTATAACCCAAAACAACAAAAGTTCTGCAGAGAAAAGCCAAAAGAAAAACAGGATAATCCCACAGACCAAACATCTTGTCGACCCTCTCCATTTAATCATACCATCATTTTAAGTTTTCATTATCAAACTTGTCTCTGTGTTTTTAATATATCAAAACAAAGCTAAAAACAGTTCAAATGGAACCAATTCTCTACACCCTTTATCACTCTTTACCCAATCATGTAAATGTATATTTACAACACGAAATCCAGAAATACAGTCTCAATAAAATAAATCCAAAAACCCTTTAAACATTTTATTGACTGGTTACCATAAAAATCAACAAAAAAGAAACTTCATCACAAACGGAAAAAATTGACATAAAGACAACAACATAAAGAAATGATAGAGAGCCCCATTAAAATATTCCATGAAAAAGAAAAAAAAATAAAATTTGATCCACACACACACACACACACACATATATAAATATGAACACAAGGAAAAAGAAGAAGAAAAAGAAAAACAGAGAGACATGGTGAATGGAGACAAACGGGGCACGAAGTTATTAATACCTTGGGGGAAGAAGGAGCAAAAATAGAGCCAAAAATTCCCGAAGAGGACGGTGAGTACTCCTTTGAGCCAAACAATTCAGAAGTGAAAGAAGAAGAAGATGATGATGATGATGATGACCCCACTTGTTTCTTTCCCTCCATTTCTCTCCTTCTTTTAAACCCACCTCCTCTTTATCTATATATGAATATTCTCACTTCCTTAGCAAACACAGAATATCTTGTGCATTCATAAAATGAAAAACTGGAGATATTTTTTTTATTTTTTAAGGAGTCAGTAATGCGAGGAAAACAGAAACACAACAGAAAAAGAGAGAGAGAGAGAGAGAGAGAGAGCTTCGGTGTAAGCGGAAACGAAACCGTCGCCTTACCAATTTATAAGGCAATAAAAATTTCCAAATTTCTTTTTTTATTCTTTTTATTTATTATTGCCGATTTTTATAGGAATCACTTAGATATGCAGATTCTGCGGTGCTACAGTGTCAACAACAGACAAATCAATATGCCGACATAGATGATTTTGTTGGCATAATTTTTATGTCAAATTTATTAAAGATGCTATTAAACAAATATGCTAATCAACAATTCTTATTTAACAATTTCTCTCTGCATAAACAACAAGTCAAGTCAGTACCCATATATATATATATATATATATTCGAATCATTTTTCTATATATAATGGAAATAAATTTATTTTTTTTAGTTAAATTAGTATTAAATCACATTTAGTTTTTTTTTATCTATTTTAATAGTTAGATTCATATCTAATATTGTATAAAAATAACAAACTTTTCAAAACTAAAAATCACATTTCCTTTTCCTTCCTTGGCAAGTGGACAGAATGGAAGATTTAAGCCAGGTGGAACAATCAGGGTGAAACTGGGACCTACAGCCTACGTTGGACGTTCCAATGTTTTACCGCCACGAGAACCCCAGAGCAATCCCAGTACTTCAAATCTTTGTTTCTCTCATGGGTCGGTATCTTTGAACCCCATTTTCGACTTATCCTTCTCTTTAATTTGGCTGTTTTTGGATATTATGTTCAGCACTGCAAAGTTACAAACCTTAGGCAGTGATAATTGACTAGTAGGGAGTAGTGCGAGGAGGAGGAGGGAGCTGGACCTTACGTGACCCTATCTTCTTTTTATCTTGTCGGAACAAAGTGTGGGTCTCTCTCTCCCTCTCTCGCTCTCACATAACCTCAGATACTGGCAGTTATGAGACGACTACTAGCAATAGCAAGAAGCAACTGATCCGGCGTCGGAGTTATAGCCCCATCAACATTGGTTGTCGGGTTAATTAATTTTTAGGCTTACTTTTTTCGTTTTTTTGGGTAAATCTTAATTTGTCCTCTTAAGGTTCAAAGAATTTCTTAATTTCGCACGTAATATTTCGTTTGTGACAATTGCCTCCATGAATTTTCGTAAAAAAAAAATCAATTTTTTCCTTCCTTCTATTAAACTAATATAACTAATAATGTAACATTTTTTTATATTTCAATTATGATTATATATTCTTTTTTAATCTCATATTTCTCAAATGTATAAACTTTTAATATATAAAAATACACAAACCCAAACTATAATTCTTCTATATTTTAATTAAATCATAACGATTAAATAATAAGTTAACATAGTTTGGTATCTTTTCTTTTTCTCATTTCTTGTGAAAAAAAATTAAAAAACATATATCAATTGTGTAAAACATAAATTTTAATATAATAAAATTAATAATACTAATACACCACTATATATATTTTTGTCCAAATCATAATAAAAAATTTTCATAGTAATTATTCAAAGCATATTAAAATTTATAAACTCAAATTAATAACTAATGATGGGGTATTTCATAATTAAAATAATTCCATTTAGTAATTTTAAAAAAAAAAATTATGAGACAAATTTATGAATTTTATTTTATTTTATTTTTTTTTTTTTGGAACAAGGACGATACTCGTAGAGTATCATAAATAAAACATAGAATATGATACAAAGGGTGACAAACTGGCCTAACCCATTATAATCGGGGGACTAGGTAGCCTAAACCCCTAAAATACGGAACATCCCTCAAGACTTAAGGTACTAAATAGCCATACAATGTTGTATTGGATAAAATGAAAAGACAAATAAATGCAAAGAACTATCTCCTAAATCTTGCTAGGCCATAATAGTCTTCCTTTAATGTTGCTCGAACCGAAGAAAGTAGTTTATCCGAGAGAATGATACATAACTTTGTTTCCATGAATGTGAGTATGATCTCGCTAGCTTATCCCCAGTGTAGTTACCTTCTCCGTATATATATGTAAGTGAAGTACACTCCATCATCTCGTTTACATTTATGCAGTAAGTATGTCAATGGCGAAGCACTCGTAAATAATCCCTTAATAGCATCAATCACCGGTTTATAGTCCAATTCTACACAATGAATGATTATTTTATGTCTCTTGCATAATTCCGGTCGTTTCAATAATGCACTAACCTCTCATTGATTATTTGTACCCTCGCCATAGTGTGAGGAAAATGCAAAAACAAATTTTTCATTTTCATCCCTTACCACTCCTCCCTCGGTACACATTCCTTCTCTTGCAAACTCATTGCAATTTAACTTAAGCTTTTGCAGAGTGGAGGAGACCATGCAATCCATTTCTCCCCGGGCACCCTCGAAGGTAGAAGAGGAATGCGTAATGTTTGAATGCAAAGGGTATCATGAAAGCCAAGTTTGGCCCTATGAATAAACAAGGGTTGGATATCGGCTAGCCATCTTTTAATCTTAAAAATTATCACCTGCAACAACCATTTCTTCCCCATCAAAAAAGGCTTTATTTCGTGCCTTCCATATTTCCCAAAGAGTGCGATGGAAAGTCACCATTCCGTAAAAAGTTTCCTAATTGGTAGGAATTTTAATATGATTAAAGGATAAATATTTGATTAAAACTTTTGTACTATTTTAGGAAGTTAATTGAACATAAAAAAATCCTATTATATTATTAGTTATGTTAGTTTAATATATGACAAGATCATTTTTGACCAATTAGCCAAGTCGATTGGACTTTTTACCGGATCAATCGGATTTGATCGACTCGAAATTAATTACAATTTATGGTCAAGTCATCTAGTTCCTAAATCGACTTGCTTGCCTAGGCCGGGTTGAAACTAGAGACTATGATATTTTTTAATTGTGTTTCTGTCGTGAAACTATTGACGCCTAATAACGTTGTTGATTGAATTCGAACAAGTACATGATATATGCCGATTATGATTTCGTAAATCTATTGGTGTCCATATCGATTATGACATTCACATATATTTATGGGATAAAATGTGCTTGTTACTTGTTAGTTTTAAGGAATATTACTTTTGATGTTTTTCTTTTAATTTTACGATTAAAAGTATTTTTAAATCAACTTACAAATTAATCAAAAATAATTTTTTTATTTTTTATACAATTTTAAGGATACACTCTCATATCGATTATTAGTTTGAAATAATCAAGATATTATTGTTAAATTATATAATAAAAAAAATTACCAATGAGTTATAATTCAACCGACATAAAACATGTACAAAAATGAAAAAAAAATTACTTTTTGGACTCACTAAAATTAAAAAGAGTACCTCATTCTAACTTCAAAAATATATTTTTTAAATTCTCTCTTGTTTCACTTTCCACTTTGCCTCTATCTCTATCCTACGTAATGTAGTAACTAACTAGTTAGATACCCACACTACGTTGCGGTCGAATAATCATTATATATGCGGGGTTAATGATTCGTATGATGTCGTACGAGTAGAAATTTTATTTACGGAGATTAATGTAAATTGAATCTATATATTAAGTGAACTTGTTTTACTTACATGTTGTAAATTCAGCTTACGGTAATTCATTCAAACACGTCACCCATTTTGAACTCTTGTAGAAATCGGTTCATTATTTTAATTCTCAACCACTATGATTTTCGTATTCTTTGGGACCACTTGAATTGGACTTACCCATTTACTATCCGAAATCAAATAGATCACATCGATATCTAATAATTTTAGAATCTCTTTTTTTACCATTTTTATTATTGCGAGGTTCAATCTCCTTTTAGCTTCTCTATCGACTTGGAACCCTCCTCTAAAAGTATCATATGCATGTATGTGGAAGGGCTAATACCTTTTATGTCGGTTATGGTCTATCCTATAGCTGTTTTGTATCGCCTGAGCACTCGAATGATTTTCTCCTCTTGTAAGATGGTTAAGTTACTTGCTATGATTATCAAAAGTGTTTCTCTCTCTTTCAATAAAAACATACTTCAAATGTGCTAGTAGTGGTTTGAGCTCAATGAACGGTGCCTACATAACAAAAGGTAGCAATTTTGAATAGGATAAAGGTAAATCAATTTTAGCAATGTCAAACCTATCAACAAGTGGAGGCAAGAAATCTAGGGTTAACGTTATTTCTTCTATCTCATCATACGAAGTAAAGTTAGAAATATGCAAGATATTTTGTTCCAAACTCATACCGATTGTAACTCCTAACTTATCCTTATTCTCTATATCAAACATATCTTATGAAAAAATTCAAGAATATCAATAGAAAGTAAAGAATTAACATCACTAGGATACATCAATGTTTCAAAAATATTAAAGTGAACTGTTTCACCATCGAACTCCATTTTTAAAGTTCCTTTATGTACATCTACTTTCATCCTTGCTTTTTTCAAGAAAGGTCTACCTAACGAGTAGAGATGATGAGGTTGGTGAATTTCCTCGATCCATCCTTAGAACATAAAAGTTCGTTGGAAATGCTTACTCATTAACCTATAGCAAAACATCCTCAACTACCTTTTTGGGGTAGGCAATAGACCTATCTCTTAATTAAATTATCACATCGGTTTCTTTTAAAGGTCTTAATTTCAAAATCACATATGTGGAATATGGCATCACACATTAATTGAAGTAACTAAGTCTAACATGGCCTTTTCGAATCTAGTGTTACCTATTACATTAAAGATAGTAAATGTACTCGGATCTTTGCACTTCGGAGGAAGTTTTCCTTGAATAACTCGCTGACATATTTTCTCTCATATTCATTTTTTCTTCCCCATCAACTTCCTTTTGAAGGACATAACTCCTTCAAGAATTTTGCATATCTAGG